AAGTTAGAAATATTTTCCTTATTTTTCTAAAAGTTAACTTATTTGTTGATTTTAGAAAGAGAGAGGAGGGGAGGAAGGGGGAGAGAAACATTGATTTGTTGTTCTGCTTATGGATGCTTTCATTGGTTGATCCTCGTACGTGTCCTGACCGGAGATCAAACCCACAACCTTGGTGTATCAGGGCAGCGCTCTAACCAACTGAGCTACCCAGCAAGCACCAGTCAGAAAAACTTCCAAAACCACATGCTGTTACCACAGAGTATTTGTTATCACAGGCTAAGATGTGTAACTTCACAACCCTAAAAAAAAACTCTAAGGCCTGTGTGTTCATAGGCTGGGACCATTTGCTTGCATAGAGCAGGGAGGGAAAAGAAGCACACGAAAGGATACACAATACCTACGGAATGGTGTCATTATAGCCAACTTCCAATGGCAATTCATGTTGTTACAACATCCCAGGAAAAACAAACAAACAACAACAAACAGTACGTGTACCTGGAAGCTATTTTGCACTAGTGGGCTATCAGGCTGGAGACAAAGATACAGAAAATGTACTGTTCTTACTGAAAAACTGCATACAATTAACATTAAACTTAAATAAAACAAACCTAAATTTAAAATACAAAAAAAAAAGGTCCCACCTGTGTAAAAATTCATGGGCATGGGAGTTACAACCTCATTACAACTACTGCTCCATTACTTACCAGCTATGGGGGTCGCCTGGTGAAGTCAAGATAAAATGCCCACCCTGAAAGTGTTGGGGAGAGGACAAAAATATACAAGAGTTCATGGAAAATGCCTAGCACAAACACAATAAATGGCACCTGGTGTCACAGTTATATAAATACGAGTATTATCCTCAGAAAGTGCATTTTGCAATTTTCCAGCAAGTTGCCAGATTGGGAAATCAGAAATTACTATTTGAATGGTGGAGGAAAAAACCAAACAAAAAACCCTACGAAACATCAAAATTCCTAAAATACTTCAGTGGAAATTTTACCCCCCCCCCAAAAAAAAATCACTGAAAACTAGATCTATTACAAATCATTGTAATCAAATTAGTTGGTTAAAAAACTGAGAATGTCACCAAACATGAGTCCTCATAAAATTCTATCAATAAAGTTTAAAAACAGGCTTCCGAATAATGGCAACTGTTGACTACAGAGCCTTGGGCAAGGTACTTGGCCTCTCTATTTTCTCATCTGTAGAAAAATACAGTACTGGCCGTACTAATCTGACCACACCTGAGATGTTTGCTGAGAAATGTTAAGAATGAGAACACGTGTAAAGCACCAATGCAGCACATTCAATATTTAATGTCACTGTCCTTCCTCCTCTCTCTGGTTTCCACTCAGTTCTATCACTTCATGGTTCCCCAAACACAAAAGGCCTGATCACATAGTGAGAAAGGAGGACAGGAACATGGATGGATGGACAGACGGACAGACAAACGGATGGGGCTTAAGCCAGATGAAGTCACAAAAAATCCGGGCTATTACTTTGAAGGTAAGTTTGCACATTTACTTCATTCTTTCCACTCCTAAGCAAAAGCAAAGGCTCCAAACTTGTTCTGCACCAGGTGTCAAGTCCTTGAAGAGGACCTGAAAAAGGCAATCATTATGTTAACTGAACATCTTGCTCAATTGTGCTCAGCTCCATTGTGAAATATGTACACTTGAGTAGTGACTCTACCCTCTGACCCTGGACCCAGGTTTCAAGTGCAAATACGTCAAAAGAAGGACTTGAGAACCTAGAGACACAAACTCTTTGGAAGGGCCGACCCCGCCCACTATAATAAACCACGCCTGACAGCCGTGTTTGCCAGCCTGGGTCTGTGCCCTGCATGTGCACATGTGTCATCTCAACTTGGGCAGATCACTGGACTCCAAGCCTGAGTCTGGGTCCATTATTCTGTAGCCTTATGACACTGGCAACTCACTTCACCTCTCTGGTCTGTTTCCTCAATTGCAAAACAGGGATAATAACATCTGCCCTACTCTCTCATTAGGCTGTCATGAGGATGAAATGTACAGAGACAACATAATGTCACCAGCAATACTTTTAAACCCATTATCATGGGTAATGTAAACATCAGGTTAGGGTACCGACAATCTTGTTTTCCTTAGGAAAGCGGAGCCTGGAACTAAATGGAAAGCTGAGAGCCCTTTCCTAAGAAAGTGCTAGTCATCTGTATCCCGGTGGCCTCTTCCTGAGTCCTCCCCTGACTGTCAGATTTTTGCAGAGGGAAGAATACGGGCCTCGGAACCCACAGGTGTGCTTGCAACGGCAGCTCTGCCACTCTGCTACAAAGACAGACCTAGTACTTTCATTCTCTAAGCCTCCACACTTCATCAGTAAAACACAGAATAATGTCTATTTCAGAAAGACTGTCTTAAGTTGAAATGGAATATTATTTACAAAATACCAATAATGTATTGCAAGCCTTCAATAAAGATTTGTTAAACTGATATCAAAAATGAGATAAAGTTATGAAGACAAATATTTTTGTACTCATTCTTTGGGCAAATGAACTATTCCACCACTTCTATGTCAATACTCCACAGTTAAAATCCTTAGAAGAAGTACTCTTTCTTTAAGTGTGGCAGCATTGTACAATTCCTTTACGATCTAAAGTTCCCTGCTCTATCAACCACACACATCAACATCACGGCAAGTGCCAGACAGCCAAACTAATTCTTTTATTTTAAAAAGATTTTATTTATTTATTTTCAGAGGGAAAGGGAGGGAGAAAGAGAGGGAGAAAAATATCAATGTGTGGTTGCCTCTCAAGCACCCCCTGCTGGGGCCTTGGCCCACAACCCAGGCATGTGCCCTGAGTGGGAATTAAACCAGCAACCCTTTGATTCACAGACTGGCGCTCAATCCACTGAGCCATACCAGCAAGGGCCAGACTAATTCTTTTAAAGTGTATCTATTATATTTGGGAATCATTTCAAATTCTTGTCAAGTAGGGACATCCAAATGCCTGAAAATATTTCAAGATTTTAGAAAAATTTATTTAATGGATGAAACACTGATACAGGCCTAGCAGGAAAGGAACATTCAGGAAAGGGCAATAAGAGGTAACATTTTGGCCTGTCACTGTGCTATGCACCATGTATTCTTTCATTTATTTAACAAAGTAACTCATCATTCATACTTGAAATTCTAGCAAAGTCTACTATCGCAGTAAGACTCAGGGACTTAGTAAAATCACCCCTTACCTTTTTTAAACTGCTAATTATGTATAACCCAGAGCTCTTTTTCTAGGTCACAGAACAGTAAACTAGAAGAATAGCCAGAAGAATCCAAGTTCAGGGCTGGATCTGTAGCCCCGTGCTCGTGCTCTCTTCTTGCAGTCCTCTACTTGGGGGTTTCTGAAGCTGGCTTTTCCTTACTTATTTCCCTTCAAAAGGAGATGAGTGGTTTTCCCACATGTAACAGAGGTGGTACTATGAAGCAAGCCAAAAACTCTTCTCCAAGAACAAATACTCTAGTTTCCTGACAGCTGTGCTGCAATGAGTCTTGTGACATCCTCACTAAACATATAAAGAAGCTGTTGTAATCGCTTTATTTCCCCATTTGCATGGCAAGCCTTAACCAACTCTGCTTCCCAGCAAAAACTCTGAGCTCTAAGATCACATTTAGAGGAACTGCATTTGAGCCTTGCGATACTTATACTGAGTTAAGTATTTCAACTTCTGGAACAAGGCCTGTGTTCCTAAGGCCATGAAGCGCACAGCAGAGGGAATCCAATCACCGGCCAGATGGGAAGTACGAAGGAATGGGGCCTATCACTCTCTGGAACACTGTCATAGGAGGGCTCAAGTATCAGAAGCTCTTTTGAGATGAAGAGCGTCCCTCCCACCGTCACTGTATCTGCAGCGCCCATTCCCGTGCTTTCTGCAAAGAACCTTCGGTCTGGCTCGGCTGGGTAAATTATAAGCTTGGCAGGTAAAGCAAAAACAAAACAAAACACCTGTTGATATAACATAAGTATCATTACATTCTGAGATCTCTTCTTGGCCTGTGCTGAGTACCCCACACTCACAGCTAAAAATGATAAAATATAAACTGCAACTAAATTAAGTCTAATATGAGCAAAACACGCAAGAATTTGGGAATAATGACTTAATTTACAAGGGCCCCTTAAATGCTAAAGAACACAGATACAATAGGGTTTATTCTTTAGATTACGTAGTAGAAAGATGACAGTGATCATAAAACAATAAAAATATATTAAGAAAAACTGTACTTGTAATTTCTGCCTATATAAATATTCCAATGAAAAATGTTGCCTGTTATTAATACATTTATTTCTGTTTACACAAGAAAAAAAAAGATTCTGCAAATGTTTTGACTAACAGCCTTCCTCTAGAAGACTCTCTAAAGTGTCAGACTGTGTAACAGTTGAACCCACAGACACACAGACAGGATTTCCTACTGCACATCTCCAGGGCAACTCGGTTGCTTGCTACTGCTACTCAGGTGAAGAAACCATTGCTCTTGATTTCATTCACAGAAACTGCATTCAGACAAACCTCAGTGTTTCCATATATTTTCTGCATGCAATTATTACTTTACAGTATTTCATTTCTAACAAACTCTTTCAAGTCTCTAAGACACACCAGAAAAAAGGCACAGCCCAGGAAAACTGTTTCCCCTTGTACTGAACTGGGATAAACTGGATACACGGTAATGGAATGCCATTCCCAAAGACAAGACTTATCCTGGGTTTCCAGTAACAGTAAGAGGCAAGGAGCAGTGAAGGCAGGGAGGCAGGGGAGAGAGAAAATGGTGATGTGACTTACGTATGGCACTCGCAGGCAGGGAAGCGGCAAGCAGGAGCAGGCTCACAAGCTTCCAGCAGAAGGCAAGGCAGAGAGCTGAGGTTCTAATTCGTGGCAAACGCATACTGAGATGCCAAGTGGGTGGAACTATCACGAACCAGGGGTGGGGCTGGTGGTGAGGGCAGGGACAAAGGGAGAAGGAGCACTTACTCGGTCAGAAGCTTGTGCAACTGGTGATAACCCCGCTCCAGGGCCAGGCTCACAGGTGTCGCTCCTTCCTGGTTGTGGATGCTGAGAGCCCCGCGGCCGCCCGGCTTCTGCAACAGGAACCAAGCCAACCTCAGCAGTCCCAGCCGCACGGCAAAATGCATCAACGTCTCGCGGGGGCTGCCATCTGTAGATGGGGGAGAGCACAAAAACAAGCAAGAAGAGAATGTGAAAAAAAAAAACAAACCAACAAAAAAAGCTAGGTAAACACCACTGCCTCCAAGTACCTAAGACCCTGAAGTTAGGGACACAACATACGACGTGAACAATTTTATTGTGGCCGAGGAGAAAGAGCTCTCAAGTAAAAACAAAGTAAAGCTAGGAAAAAGTATGAGAAGCAACATCTCTAACAGGAGACAGTCCCGCAAGAGAATCAAGCCATTTCTATATTCTGATTGAATGCATTTGTCCAACAAACTGATACAGGTAGATTCATAAGGGTGACTTCACACATATGTCCTTTCCCTTAAAAAGGAGATGTAGCCTCACAACATGGGGATCCAAAGGGAAGAGTTGTTGGGGCTTAAGGCTTACATGGGTGTATGAGAAAGACTGTAATTACTTTAAAAAAATAACACCCAGACAGGAGCTGGCCAGCTGAACACTGAAAACAGGTTCCGCTTATTAAGGGCACACAAGTCTTTTTATTCCCCCATATTAAGGGCAAATGAAATTGCTGGCTCTATTAGCTCTTGTTTGTTTGGTTAAAGAAAGAAAGGCATCTCCAGGCATAATAGGAAAGACTAACGCTAAGATAATATACTAATAGCTTCAGAAAAAAAGTATGTGGGCTTCTGTCAGTCGAAGGGAAGTTCCTTGCTGGTATGAGGAGTCATTCTGAAAGTGGTGAGGAGAGAGGTCAAATCTGGGCTCAGGTTTGGCACTCACCATCTGCGGGGCTGGGCAGAACCCATCTGACCTCTCTGAGCTTTACCTGCTTCATCCCCAGAGTGGGATGCCAGCACCTCCTCCCAGGGCTGCGGTAACAAATGGGTGGAGGTAGGTGAGATGCCAGCATGACAACTGGCTGTAGTAGATGTTCATTAAATGCCAAGTACTTCCCTTTCCCTGCTCTCTCTTCTGTCCTTCCGGACCTCAGGTTACATTCTAGCAACACTGGCCCCCTTCCTCAGGTGCCCTCCTGCGTGCCGCCTGGGATGTCAGGAGCTGACGCCACTGCAGGGCTGCAGTGTGCAGCCCCACAGGCTGCATCTCCCAGCTCTGGGTGGACCACTCAGGGACTGCAACGGAATGGTGTCCTGGAGCCATGAGAGTCGGCTTTGCTAACATCTCCCTTTCTCCACAGCCTCCCTGGGCCTCAACTTCTTCACTGAGCAGTCTGAGATCTCTTGGAACCCACCGTGTCCCCTTGCACTGAAGTCCTCGCTGCTTCTCCATATGAACAGCACAATGAGAATGAAGGCACCTCTGAATCTGTGATTTACACTGAACTACATTGTTTTCTAATGTCACGTGTGGGTTGGTTTAGTCTCCTTATTGTCAAGGTAAATTTTCTTGGAAGCAAAAGCTACCGTTCCTATTTTATTTTCCCTGCAGCACTATTCACACTGACTAATTCAGGATTTACAGGGCTCAGCAGAGAGACAGGGCTGGAAAGAAATCAACAACCAGAAGAAACCACTGCATGAGGAGGCACAGATTTTAATAGTCAACACCTCGCAGCAGGTGGCCAGGCAGGTGAAAGGACAGAAAGACCCCTCAGAAAAGATCAAATACCACCACCTGACTCATACCTAAAGATGTTCACAAGCACTCTGACATCCTTGTCAAATACAAAAAAGCTAATGTCACACCAACCAGGAACTATGTGATTTCTTACAGGTTAATTCCAGCCTTACTAGGTGACACCTCCTTAAAGCAGTTTTCTCTCCATCCCCACCCTTTCTGATCCCTCAGTTGCTCTGACTCAGCTCAGCACTTAGAGCAGAGTTCCAACCACCATACACCTACCTGCCCAAAGCTGGCACCCCAATTCCAGTACCTGTATCCTCCCCAAATCTCAGTCCACATTCCTTAACAGCAGGCACCATGTCTGCTCTTAGGTCACCCCCGTTCTGCAGTCAAAGACTACAGGCAAAGTAACACATGGGGAGGGCCTGCTAAGTACCCTTATGCTGGGCTAAGGGGTTGTACTGGCTTTTCTGTTCTCACAACAGCCTTATGACAAGATCTCACCTCATTCTGCAGATGAAGATCTGTCTTGAGCCTAAAAACCACACCCTTTCCATTGCTGCACCCTGCCTCTATTTGTAAAAACCAGGATAATGTTGTGGTGTAAAATGCATCCTGTCATGTGTTTTCCTCCAGTAATAAACATTTTATCCACTGTAGCTTCTATCATTGTTTCTGTTCCTTTGAATCAGTTTAAACTCCAGAGGGCCCACAATTTGGATCAATCTTTGTTCTCTCCTCCCTGTATCTACATTTTTTTTTCATCCGATGAGCATTTAGTATTTATCTTCTATCCTAAGAGTTATTCAGCTGTGTTTTTCAGACCCCTAACTGCATTTCCTGTGATGTCAACTGGGTCCTCTGTCCCTGTTTGAATCCGATTACGCCCTGGGTTCTGGATGTCCTCGCGTCACTTCAGCCAACTCCCTTCCCCTCTTTGCCCTCATTGTGATGGCTCTCCTGCAGATGTCATTAAAGCCCCTAATCAGCTGATTTAATAAGGAAGATTAACCCGGATAATCTGGGTGGGCCTGAATCCACTGGAGGCTTTAAAGGCAGGGCCGTCGTTTCCCCTGGAGAGAGAAGTCGGCCAGTGGAGGACAGCCTGTGTCTGTGCTGGAGCAGTATGTCCGGCTCAGGGTCTCTCCTTCCTTCTCGTAGGACGGCAGCTCTGGATCACGCTGGTGGGAGGTCAAGATTGCCCATGACCTTCTATTCTTGCCCTACAAATCTGGGGCTTGTTTAGCCAGCGCCCACAATCGTGCAAGCCACAGCCACTCCGTGTGATAAATCTTAATACACATTTATTCCTCCTCCTGGTTCTGATTCTCTGGGTAAAGCCTGACTGACATGCTCATTAAACCTATTTTCTCCATGCTGCTTCCTTCTCTAATTTCATTACAGGTCAGCCTTCTTCCATTTTTTTGAAAAGGATAAATGGGAAATCTCTTCTACATTTCCCTTTGGTTTCTTAAAGACAATTATACTCAGAGAGCCTTCCATCTGAATACTCACCATACTTTTCCATTTCCTTTATGCTGTAATGTTATTTCACAGGCCATATGCTGGCTGGTTGGTTTTGCTGTTTAACCATGCTCGACTGGGAATATCCCTAGGTGGCCCCAGCTCCTACTCACAGAGAAGGCAGTAGGATATATATGTCTTGAGGCCCACTCGCTATCTGCTTAGAGGCTGGACGCACCTCCCATGCACATTTGCCCAGATCTACAGAGAAAGCTATGTGACCAGTGGGCATTCAGCCCCGATGAGATGCTGGATGGCTGCTGCTTCTTCAAACTGTGAGACTTTCTGACTAAGCAAAACGCTCGAAGTTCTGTGAACAATACAGTAATCAAAGACCATGTGTGCTTTTCTTACCCCATCAATCCGCCTAAAGGCCCTGCTCATAGCAATTTTTGAATCTCTAAGATTCCAAAATCACCGTCCTTCCTACTCCTCTGGACCACCGCTCAGGTACACCTGAGGTCCCACATGACTCGGGAACTCTCACACCCCATGGGACAGAGAACAAGAGGCTTTGGAAAAATGACACATGTGATCTTGGGACAGAATCAAGGTTTGACAGGCAACAAAAGCTTGTGGAGCTAAAGTCCTGCTATTACTAGAAACTGCTTGTCTTAGAGTCAAGATAGTATTCCTCTGTGAAGGAAAAAAATCCCTTAGTAGTCTTTTTATATTTTATTTTCCTATTTTTTTATCAGCTACAATAGCTGAAAAAATACACAAACACTAGTGAGTGTAGCTAAGAAAAAATCCCCATGAGAAGCTATGGAACAATTCGGAAGCGGCATGGAAACTAAAAGGGCAAATTCTTACATTTGAGGCTCAGTTAACCAACATCAGACCCACAGAGCTGAGACACACAGGCTGTCTTTAGCATTCTTAAACCTGTCTCATCCTTCTCTCCACCCAAATTTCTTAGTGAGGAGAAATCCCACCTCCAAAGAGGATCAGATCTTTTTTTTTTTCCACTTAGCCACACAATGCCATGACTAAGTAAGAACGCGACTTCCCCCAGACTATTTCTCCTCCTTATTTTCTTCAGAGCGAGTCTTCAATGGGCCCAACCTGTTACCTGAGAGGTATGCTGATGGCCACTGTACCAGGTTCTTTCAGGGGGGAAAAAATATTAATTCATCATTTCCACTAACCACCAAGGCACTAAAACGCTAAAACAACTAAGTGAGACTGGGTAACTGAGAGGGAAGACGTCGTTACCCACCATCAACCCTCCACCCAGACATATCCTTCCTGGAGGTAAGGCAGAACCAAGGCAAAAAGTCCGGTGTACAGGCTGCTTCACGGAGCTGAAGATGAGAGAACCCCTGTGAGAACTCACATGGACAAACTCCCCCTCGCTCATTTTAAAGCGAGACTTGACTTGAGAGGTTAAGTGAAAGCAAAAGAAATACAGTCTCGTTATGCGTCAAGTCCAAGTGCCCTTCCTTTTTCCGCTGTCCTGTTTCATCCTTTTACAAGATTCGTTACTTTCCCTCATCAGACCTCAGAGCTCTGTCTCTACAAGGTTACTGTGTATTGGTCCTGGTATATTCAGGAGGAATAGCTCTGCTAACTGGCACACACTATCCAAATATATTTTCCTCCATTTCATACATGAAGAAATTGAGAATCAGAGAGGAGAGCATTTTGCACAAACTCTTGCACTGAAGCCAGATATAAAGAAACTGACTGCACTGCCTATGTTCTTTCCATTTCACAATATCAAATCCAAACCAGGAGTTAAGGTCATGTTCACTGCTACAGCTCAAGGAGGCCATGAATCCCTGAAATTATGTGTACACTTTTGCAGGCCTGTATGTATTTTCTCCATAGGAGAAACATGAGCTATTTTCAAAGGAGCCACTGACCTGAGAGAGAAAAAAAATTAAAATGCTCTGCATCCAAACAATTAGTGTGAGGATTAAACATACATCTTACGTGATTCCTTTGTACAAGCATTAGGCTGGAACACCTGTAAACATCCTCACTTTCAACAGCAAGTAGTCCCTGTTATGAAACAAGGTGTCCTATTTACCCGCAGTATTATCCCAGGCAACAGCTTACTTTATACCTTTCTCCTTTAAGTACCTTTTAAAGTATTTGATGTACAATGCAATGTGAGCACAACATTCCTCTACTTTCGCCCCTCAAGAACAAGCAAGCGCCTCTTACCTGAAGCTTCTCAGCCCTTAAATACTCACTGTTTATAGATTCTAATCCACAAATGCAGTAAAAAACTGCAGAATGTGAAATTAGCCCTTGAAATCAGATTCCTCATCCCAGTGGTTGACTCAAAGGCAAGTATAATCAAGAGCTTTCCATGCATTTCACCTTGCAAAGTATATATCTAACTTGTTCATTTTCCTTTTGTTCTTTTAATTATTTTAAACTTATGTACAAAATTCACTTTTGTGGGGTGTACAATCCTATGATTTGGAACACATACATAGGTTCTTATAACCACCACCACCAAAATGCAAAACCATTCCAACACCCAGAGAATTCCCCCATGATACCCCTCTCCTGTCAGCCCTTCCTCCGCTCCCAGTCTTAGAAGCTACTGATCTAGTTTCTGTGCCTGTAATTTTGCCCTTGACAGACTATCTCGTAAGTGAAATCATATACTAAATACCCTTTGGAAACTGACTTCTTTTACTTAGCACAGTGCATTTCAAATGCATCCAAGTTTTTAGAAATAGAAAACTATTGCACACGTCAATAATTTTTAATGCTGGGTATTATTCAACTGTGTGGATGAACCACAGCTTGTTTATACATCCACCCAGTGAGAGAGATCTGGCTTAGTTCCAGGTTTTGGTGACTATAAATAGTGCTGCCATAGGCACATAAGTGCAAAGATTTGTTTCAGTTAATATAAGAACCTAGGATTAATATGCAAAAGTAGGATTCCTGGGTCACATACTAAACGTACATTTAACTTGATAAGAAACTGCCAATTGCCTTCTAGAGTGGCGGTATCCTTCCGCAGCCCCCGCAGCAATATGTGAGATGGTCTGCATCCTTGCCAGCACTTGGTATTTTTAATCTTAGCTTTCCTTGTAGGTGTGTAATGGTACCTCACTGTGGTTTTAATGCATTTCCCTAAGTGTCCAAATTTGATTTGGCCTGTGCTATCACCACTTGGGCAATTTTATACAACAGAAACTTAAGAGGCACATGGAAAGTCCACAAAAATATTAAAGCTGGCCAGTTCCCTATTAAACACAAGGAAGCTAAGGCCAGAGAGGGGAAGTGATGTGCCAAAAGTTCCAGACCTGTGCTTTTTCTAACACAGCTGACCTATGAACAACAGGGGGATGGGGGCACCAACTGCCCGCATGGCCAGCCTTCTGTGTACGTGGCCTCCCAGCCGTGGACCGAAGATAATGTGTGTAAGTGGATCTGTGCAGTTCAAAGCCATGTTGTTCAAGGGTGAACTGTGTTTCTTGTTAACCACGGCAACATAAACAAACCATCCAACTCCTGTGCGTTCTTTCAACAAACAAAAACAAAAACAAAACCCATAAAAGCTCCACAAATAACTAATGCAATCCATCTTGACCGCTTCACAAATGGCAATCAGAACAACCATTCCTGCACGAATACAGAAACAGTAGGGCAGAGGTAGTGAGCCCCATCCTTAGGTTTCTGGAAAGGTGCTCATGCCCAATACAATGGCAAACATTGTGATCTCTAGGTCTTAGCAATGCAGAGGGGTTTTAGACACTGCAACAGCAAGAAAAAAAGAAAAGGACAAATGCTTTCTTCCCTGATTTTAGCATCTGCACTTTCTTTTGTAGTCACCTGGGCAGGAGACTGCTTTGGTACTGTTAAATTCAGTGGATATAAGAGAAGCAAAGGTGGGAAATACCCCTTCACCAATCTTCCACGGGAGGAAGATCATGTTCACTCGATGGGTCTGTGGGAGCAGACACTGAGCGTGCCCTCTGGGCACTTCTCCTCCGGACCTGCTACCCGCAGAGATGGTGCCTTCTGGTCTGCTCTCCCTAAATACACAGTGACCAGAGCTGGGTGGACATGGGAAGGAAGTCCTGTGATCGTCCAGCTCTTTAGAAAAGACAGCAAATCGTCGTGTAGGAGGCCTAATGTCAGTCTTCCAATGTAGCTTTCAACAGCAATGGAAAAAACATTTTCATCTCTAACTCCTAAATCTTCCAACTGCATTTGAACTCAGGAGGGAAAGAGGATGTTATTTATGGACTCCAGGTATAAACTGTTTCATTTAAATATATGTATATGTATATATATAAAAACTCATAATATCTAGTAGATGTCCTCTGCCACAAGAAAAATTATGTGGGAAAGCCCCTTTCTGACTCAGAGGGACATAAATAGATCCTATTACATCAGTGTTTTTAAAAAGTGGAGGCCTTCCTTCAGTGACCTCTCATGGAGAGAGGTAAATAAGCAAGAGTGAAAATAGCCTGGTTTGAAAAGTGTTAGTTAAAAATAATAGTTAATAATAATAATAATTTTTAAAGAAACAGAGAAACAAAAAAAAAACCCACAAACACACATACAAACAATGAAAAAAGAACAAACAGAAGTGCCGGCTGTCCCAGAGCTCAGCCTGCCCTCCTGCTCCAGGCCCCTCACTCCCCACGTTCCTCTCCTCCAGCTCCACGGACTCCGTAGAGAACTTCAGAATACCTCTCTTTGTACCAAAAAAGGTACAAAGAGTTATCCTCCTGCTCTCCTGATGAAGGATGGGCCCCTTTCCACACTCGAGAGATCAGCCTGAAACCGGACCCATAGAAAGGCGCTCTGCCGCTCCCTGCAGTGAGGGAGAGGGGCCCGGCTACAGCAGCTCTCCCTTGGGTCACTGCCCTGCAGGAGCAGGTTTAACAGCTCAGCTGAAGAACCCAGAAGCAATGCCATCAAGGCCACTTGGCTACAGTAACTGAGAGATTTATTCAGCCACTGGGGAACACTTCATGGCAATGACTATATAAAAGCAGCCCCATAAAAAACTTAAGTATTGCACACTCAACATATGTCTGTGGGCCGTTTAAGTTCTTACCATGCAAAGTTGGGTCTGTTCCCAGGACATTCCACTCTGCCGGCAGTTTCAGGTGCCGGAATGCCAGGGCCACCTTCTCGTCAAGGGAATTCACATCTGTAGATGGGGGCCCTGACCGATCAAGAAAGCGGGTGAAGTTCAGTGCCTGCTGATTCCCAGCACTGGCTGCCAGGAACTGGGCTGCATCATAAGCCTCATCCTGCACGAACTCAAAGTCTTCTTCGGCCACCACGAACACGGGAAGGCCCTCTTTGGAAGCACACAGCTGCACCCTTACGGTCTCACAGCAGTCGTGACCTAGAGGAGACACACAGGGCAAAGAAGACAGATTAGAGTCCGAGGAAAAGGGCCACTGTGGGTCCTCTCTGCTCTTCTTGTAGGCCCCACAAGTTCCCCGTCCTAAAAGAAGCCCCTCCTTTCTCTTAGCTCTGACAGCAATCTTCCAAACTGCTTAAAATTCCACTTGCAGCTCTATGGTTCGCAAATACGAAGTAGCTCCCTTACCAAAGAGCAGACAACTTTGTATCTCAGTTGTCACTGTGCGCATAGCATAGCGTTTGGCATTGAATGGTCTCTGAATATCGCAATGTATACTGAACTATGGCTGTTCAATTTGAGCAAACTGAAAGAATGGAAGCTCAAGGATCTTGCAAGGTTTGTATACAGTAGGAAGTCTAATACCCATTAACTGAATTTTAGATCAGAAAACACAACAAGGTTAAAGGCCGCTCATACAGGTTACACAAGAGGCTCCTCAGTACTTGCTTTATAATCACAACACAATCAATCAAATAAAGCACCTTGAAAAGTACAAAACTGCAAGATTTCATTCCACTATTACTAGCAAGCCATGGCCAAGAAAACAAGTTCTGCTCTCAGGTACAGTTTCTTTCCCACAAGGTAATGGGGACGTCAATGGAATCCCTGGTTCACAGAGGGATGACAGAATGCCATGGCCAGAAGCCCAGCTGAGGTGCAGCAGACACACCAGCAACGGTGGCATCCATGGCACAGACGGGCAGAGACCTCACGAACTGCGGCAGGAGGCAGAGACCTGCACGCCAGCCCGAAGAGCTCCACCTGCGTAAAACCAGAAAGCTTTCACAAAACTGTTTCTGTGCGTGAGGCCTTGCTGGGGAATCAGACTTTCGTGTGGATTTTTATCCTTACAAAATTAAGTATTTCCAATATGCAGAACATATCTGCTGAAACAGTTTTCCCTCAACTTTCAGACACTGACTTCAACTAGAACAATGCTAACATCATCATTCTTCTTCCATATCTTTCTGATGAGAAGAAAATAAAGAAAATAGAGCCCATGTTTTTGCTGCCTTGCCTGATGAACCGCAGGCACCTGTGCACCACGGCTCCGCTGAATCCACCCACACACAGGGGCTGCCAGTCCACGGCAGAGCGAGGCCCCAGGAACGCTCTCCGTGGCCTGTGACACCGACTTCCCGTACCACGGGCAAAGGCCAACAGAGATTTCAGACTTGGGCAGAACAAACTAAGCTTTCTGCTGTCTTTATAAGAGAAAACGGTAATTTTTTTTCTTCCATGTTTCCAATGAGAATAAGAAGTACATTGATTTTCCACGTGCTTTTCTCCCAGTGGCCTCCACAAGCCCTTTACCCTGTAACAAAAAGAACCTCTCACTGCTGTGTCATTTTAGAGTGGTAACAAGTATTTACTAACCAGTACCTAGGCATACCAGGCATTTTCTCTACACAGTAAATTCAGAAGATAGGTATTCTCCTCACATAATGGACGAGAGAACTGAGGCTTCACGGTTACGAAGGTTAAGAAGCAGAGTCCATTATTCAAGTCAGAGGCCAAACGACAGGGCCTGTTATATTACAGTAGAAGAGTTTTGTGCCACATTGCTTATAAACAAAAGAGGAAGGGAGAGCTTTGTTCCTGCCTGAAAGGAGCCCAATACTTGGAATGAGAAGCCAGTATGACTATCAGGCAAAAATAACAAAGAATAACAGGTTCATGAACCACCGAGATCAGTCTCCGTGCAAACACGCAACTCTACCAGACACTCCCACTGCCTTCCAAGCTGAATTACTTCCATGAAGGCTGTAAGAAACTGAAGCACCGTGTGTGTGTGTGTGTGTGTGTGTGTGTGTGTGTGTGTACACCCATGTATGCATTTCAACTCAATACATATTTTGAATTAAGCCCTAACCAGTGTGGCTCAGTTGACGGGACAGCATCCTGAAAAGGTCATCCATTCCATTCCCAGTCAGGGCACATGCCTGGGTTGTGGCTTCAGTCCCCAGTCAGAGAGTGTCTTAAGGTCCCAGGTCAGGGTGCATATGAGAGGCAATCTACTGATGTTTCTCTCTCACATCAATGTCTCTCACATCAATGTCTCTCGCATCAGTGTTTCTCTCCCTCTCTCCTTCCCTTCCCCTCAGATAAAGAAAGAAAGAAAGAATGAATGAATATATAAATATTATATGTGAAAATATTTATAGTATGAATTTATATAATATATGCAGTAAAATTAGAAAAAACTCTTAATCTTCCTTGAAAGGCAGCCAGTCAAATCACCTAAGACAACCATGTCAGCAGAAACACGGCAACTGATCCAGGTAGCCGTGGGGCTTGGGTATGTTTCCAGCAGAAAGGAAGTGTTTCTTTTCAACTGTTCTATCACAGCTAGACACCCGCCAAGGTTGGGGCGCTGACCCTTCCAAGGTTGGAAGGTGAAGATGGAGACAGGAAGAGTTTCAGCCCTCAGAGGCTGACAGTCTGTAAGGGGAATCAAACAAGCCGCAGAAACTGCAGAGCACACGCAAGTGGAACGGGGTCTGTGAGAAACACACACAGCGCGGCTGGTGGGATGGGAGCAGCGCGTCTCGCCTGTGGGCAAAAGTGGGAACATGTCGCCAAGGTCCTCCTGCTCCCAGGGGCACGTCACTGCGACCCTCCGAACAGAGATGCGCGGTCTCCATCTTACCTAATCTAACAAACACATAGTAGTTGCTCTGGGCCCAGCACTATTCTCAGAGCTTTCCAAGTAGTAGTTCATTTACTCCTCATTAACGACCCTTCCCCGTAGATGCTATTATCTTCCCCATTTGCTAGATGAGGAAACCAAGGCACAAAAATATTAAGTCATCTGCCCAATGTTATAAATCTCTTAAAAGGTGGAATTAGAATTTGTGCCCATTTCCTTGCTCCACAGCCCCCTCTGCATCCAGTATTTACAGAAGAAGAAGAGCTCAAAAGGAAACACGGGGAGCGTGGACGAGTCAAGAGGATCAGAATAAAAACACGATGCTCCAGCCCAGCTAAAAGGCTCATGAGCCATGTGACCTCAGGTCACCTCCGCCCCCCTGGGCCTCGGCTCTTCATCCCGAGCAGAGCGAGCAGCCTCTACAGGCTCCATGGCCTGTCCCGCTGTAGAAGCCGGCGCGTTTCACCAGGCAGAAGATGAGAAGGGAGAAGAAGTTAAGAAGGAATTCCAGGAACAGGAAAGTTTCAAAAAGAAAAAAATGGAAGCAGAAGGTGAGCCCAAGGGATGAAATAATTCCCACAACACAGTTCCAGGAAGATACTAACTTGGCTATGTCCAGACGTTTACTGATAGGAAAGACCCGAGTCTAAATCTGTTTTCTTCCTTGTTAGCTATGTGGCCCGAGGTACATGGCAACCTCTCCACCACTTTTCAATCTGGGTCGTCTCATAGTCTCCTAAGGGAAGAGCTGTAACTCAGAAGAGTCCTCCAAATTCTTTAACTATCTTTCCCAAAGGAACATGCATAATAGCTTCACGTGATTTTCAGTTAAATCACATCAGTAGTTATCTAGATAGATAGTAGCAGGTGAGTAGGCAGGTAGGTAGGTAGGAAGACAGACAGGGAGATAGTTGTAGCAGTATGTACTTCAGTCAGAAGAATTAATGTAAAAATGTTCTCACTTATGAATCTAACCAACAATTATAGCAGTTTCCCATTTATTCAGGATTAAACTAATTTATAAATTTCTGCCAGTCTTTTGAGGTAGATATGAGTAAATGTCAATAAAAGCAAAAACCACAGGTTTCTCAATTTAATAGTAATAATGTGAATAATCTGGGATACAAATTGAACTGTCTTCAAAATGGAAACTTGGGTGCTTTACGAGAGATACTAGACTAACCTAAAGTGATACCGTCTGCTGCCCCTACGCATCTAAATGGTCCGGATTCTTTCTTACTAGTCTCCTTCCCCAAGCTGGTGCAAAGGTGAGAACCCTGAAACCTCGGACCTGAAAGGGAGCCACAATGCCACTACGAGTGAATATCATTCACTGCACTATTCATCACCTTCTGGATATACACACGGTCCATACCACATCCCAGTTCTTCAACGTCATCACACACACACACACACACACACACACACAGCAAAAAGCCATGGTGAAGCAATACAACCTAACTCTAAACTAAAAAGTGCAGAAGCAAGGTATCTGCACAGAAATCTACCTGGAATCATTGAAACGGCTGTTTGCTTGGCTAGCATGGGGTGGGGACATGCAAGGGGGAGAGAAACTGAAGAAGATGAGGGTCATCATATGTGTGTACAAGCCCAAGTGTTCAGCAACGCAGACACACATATCTCTTTCTCCTGCTTTAGCGGAAGAACTTGTTAGAAAGTGGGTGGGTGAATGGGTGAACTATGGACAGCTCCGTTTTGTGTAAAGTGAAAACAAAACTGTGTATTAGAACAGGCCGAATGTCAGGAAAGGCCACGAAATAGATATGTAGGAGAAGCTATCTGATGGTCAGCCCAACAGTTCCCCTTCAGACATGAACTCACAATCTAAAGGAGAAACTATGAATCATCCTAAGTGAACTGGGCCGCAAATCTGGAATTTGTTTGATATGATTATAGGCTTCTTTTTCAAAAGAAAAACTGAGGATTAAAAGGGGAGTGGAGAACTGAGGGTTTCTTGGATTAGTCTCTATTAAACTTAGAATCAACTGGAAGAGTTACTACTGATCAAGACCAAAATACCTCACCCTGCAGTCTGGAAATCAACCACACAGGATGGCAGGGCTCCTCGCTCATGGTAACACTTTCTATTAGGCTCAAATGATTAAGATTATTTTTGAATCCTTACAACCTTTCAGATTAAGCATCTAGAGGAGGAAAAAAATCAACACTTTAAAAACAAGGTTACATGGTATGGACTCAGCAATAGAACTAAAACCACTGCATGTGCACACCTAAGGCCTCTTGCTGCCATAAATCAGCTCTAGAGACACGGCTACTTGCCGGGCCATCAGCCGCATGACTGCCTTTG